AGCCCGGAAGACCCACACCAGCCATCGTATGCCGGCCGTGAAAGCCTTCGACAATATATTGGCAGGCCATTTTGGAGACCATAAGCTTGCATTCTCTTCCCTTTTTATCACAGTAGCAATTCTGGACAGAAGTTGGCTGGTATGGAAAACACGCTATTAAGCCATCATCTACATGTCCTTTCTGCAATACAAATCAAAAAGTAAGTTACAGTTTCTGTGCTTATGCACTTTTATTGCAGTGCAGTATTATAGAGTTAAGAGGAGAGTGACACCATTCACACCGATGAGGCAGTTGAGTTGGCCTTGACTTGAAAAATAACTTGGAAAGGAAAAGATGTTGCAGCAAGTTTAATACTAATTTGGCAGTTTTCTGTACTGGGTAACAAAAATTAAATGATATTATTTTTAAAAATCCTATTTCTATGCAAGATCATCCCAAATAATATAGTTATAAGTTTATATGGAACTACTAAATTAAACACCGTACAGTATCTTTTGTTTCTGCAAATCCATTTCATTTTAAAAAGGATTGAAGGAAGATGAAGAAGAAGGATATATTCTTCATTTGATAAAAGGACATCATCCTGAGGATGCAAGAGACGGGTTGGTCGTTTTGAGAAGAATTCAATTAAATTCAGTCCAGTCACTGATAGAATCTCTTCTGTTAGTGAAATTAGGGTAGGATGCAATTTCTCCCTTCCTGAAATATCCATGAGGCCTTAAATCTGTTCTGGAGAATAGTGGGACTCACTGGAACAGATCTGAGCAAGCTTGCAGGAAGCTGCAGGATCAGAACTTCCCTCTGTGTATACAGAAGTCTTGTAGGACATTTATGCTGATCTTTGACCATAATAAAGATTTGATTGATTGATTGATTGATTGATTGTAGGATGTTGAATTGTTTTGATCTTGCCTTTGTTTTCTAGAATTGCTTCAGAACTAGAATTGCAGAACTGCTGGATCAGTGATCCAGATACTGAACATGGCTTCAGGGTGGTTTCTGAATTTTCTGTCTACAAACTACAAACATTGAAACCTGATTCCTGGTGGCTGGATATGCTGTCCTCGTATGTCAGTTCCTCTATTTTTTTCCTGGCCTTTTTAATGTATAGTGTGTGTGTGGATTCTAATTATTAAAACACTGCCTTGGTAAAGGGATTGCACACTTAGGTAAAATTAATGCAACTATGTATTTGGATTATTAATCTATGAATCTTAAAATAGGCATCACTGTTGTTTCTTAGCTAAATCACTCTAAAGTGTTCACTTCATGCTAGCCGTCTGATTTTTAGAATATAAGTAACATCTCTCACCTAATTTTTAATGTGAAAATGTTTATCTTTGGTTTAGCCAGGCAAGACATCCATTCTGGTAAATTGTTTGGATGACATTTAATAGAGGAATTTGTTTCCAGCAGTGAACTATTGCATACAGATGACTTCCACAGAAGTTTTAGATCTGTTTATATCCAGAAGTAAAAAATAAAATACCATTGCTGCATTATAGGATTTTGTGTTGCTTTAACATTCTATTGAATGCAGCATTGACTTTTGTCCAGCATGCATGTTACTATAGCAGAAATATTTATAGCTGTAATTAAAAGGCTAAAGCCATCTTAAACTGCTAGGGTGAATGGAGCCTTAAAGACCAACTGTTCCTGTGAATTTAATGCAGCTTCCGTTTGTTCATAGGATTGTAGCCTAATCTAATTAGCATTAACAAAATGGTTAGGGATTTTTTTTTTTTTAATGATTGGTTAGGTTTAGGCAATGGAGTGGCTTCTGACTTTCTTTTTAAACTTTTAAAATGTATTTTATTATATTAAGCCTACAGAAAGACATATATGCATATGGGTGTTAATCATGTGATATAATATTAAAATCAAAGGAAAAGAAATAAAGCTGGAGAATTATATCATTGAAAAAAAACCCCTAAGCACTTCACTAAATTGCTCACAAGTTCTTTTTGTTGCCCCTTTAGACAAAAAAAAAAAAAAAGGAAAGAAAGAAAAAGAAAGAAAGAAAAGGACTAATTCATATCCTGTTAAACAAGTATCAACAATCAATTACTGCAAATCATGGATAGATTTATCCTTCCAGTGTTATATAATCATTCTTTTTTGACATGCCCCAGCATAAAAGCTTCATAATTCTTGGTGACATGGTAGATTCTAAATACTGGGGATATAGCCAAGAAGATCATATGCATCCTTAACATGGAACAATTGGTCTAAAGTCATATTAACTCTTCTTTGGATTTCAGCTCAAAATATCATTGTAATGGGATTAGCCCATTTACTCCTGAATTTCATTGTCAATAATAATGAGATTCCAACCAATCCTTATTCAACTTTCTCTAGGATATTCTACACAGACAAAGCAAATTTTTGAACCATTGAGCAATCTTTAGGCACAGTAAAAATATTGACTATCTTCTGTCTTAATTTGGAAGAAGTTATACTGAAGTCTATAGAACTTAATTCTGATCAAATATTTATTTATTTATAATAAATACTTAATAGGTGGCCCCTTAAGAAGAACTCAAGGTCATTTAGAATAATAAGTATACCAACAGCTATAGCTTCAAACAATAGCACTGCTGGGTGACTTATACCTAACTAGATACTACTTTCACAATTTCCAAGCCCTTTGGTAGAGCTCAACTTATGAAGAACATTGCCTGTGACACATGATAAGCAATAGTAATAGTAAGAAAGGCAACAAATGACAATCCACTCTAAACTAAGCCCGAGTATCATCAGTGACCAAAAGCTTGGCAGAACAAAAATGTTTTCAAGACCTTCTTGAAGGCCGAGAGGTTGGGGTATTCCTTTTCTCAGGAGGCAAGGTGTGTCTAAAGGACTTTTTCAGGTCTCATGGGTCTGGATCTACAACATTCCTCCTGTTAAAGATTACATGGGATGGGATGGGTAGATGGAAGAGACACTCCTGTAGAGATCTTGGTGCCAGGCTGTGCTGGCTGACAACTAGCACTTTGAATTGGACCAGAAAAGCAGGTAGCCAGTGAAGCACCCACAGCATACATATACAGCTAATCCTTCTGTCTCCAGTTTGCAGAACCATGGCATTTTGGATAACTTGAAGCTTCTGATCTTCTTCCAAGACAGCCTGACATAGAGCACATTATAGCAGTCAATATTTAAGGTGACAAGGACACAAGTCCAAATAGACCTGTCATTGGCATACTGGCAGGAGTTGGGCAAAGCCTGTAGCATCTATCCTGCTGCTCTAGCAGGAATTGCAAGTCCAGGAGGACCTCTAAATCCTGGACATGTTTCCTAAGTGGAGTGCAACACTGTCAAGAGCTAAAAATGAAGCTGAAGTAGAGCCAAGTTTATCACTGACAAACAACAATTCTGTTTTACAGGGATTTAATCTGTTGTTTTGACCTATCCTGGCTCTCACATCCTTCAGGCAGTATACCAGGACTTTGACAGCATTTTGGTCTAGACTAGAGTGGTGATGTACAACTGGGTAACATAGGTATATTGATGATGCCACAATCCCAAACTGATGGAGGGTCTCCCCCCAGCAGCTTAATATATATACTAAACAGCGTAAGGGAGAGGACCAGCCCTGTAGAATTCTATATAAGTGCAAACATGGATATGACTGCTCTTCCTCCACACACACCAACCAGAACTGCCCACTCAGAAAGGAGCAGAACCATTGTAAAACAGTGTTTCCAAGCCCCAGCCCTTGCCTGTGGTTCAGAAGGATATCATGGTTGATGGTATCAAAGGTCACCAAAAAGACCAGAAGGAATACACTCTCCCTCTCCAAGTCCTGGTGAAAGATCATTCCCCAGTTTCAGTTCTGTCCCATGCCTGGGACTGAAACTAGATTATAAGGGGCCTACAAGACCCATTTCTTCTAGGATCCTCCTTGACTGGGTCACCAACACATTCTTCAAAATCTTCCACGAAATGGAAAGATGGGACATTGTCCCATAAAACAGCTGGACTGAGATGGCGTCTTCAAAAAGGGGCACACTGCTGACTCTTTCAAGATGGTTGGTACCACCTCCTCCCTTGGTGACACATTAACCACCACCTAAATCCACCCACATGTGCCTCTACCAGCTGCACTGATAAGCCAGGTGGGTTATACATCAAGCTTACAAGTGGCTGAGCTTATGCCACAGAGGGCCTGATCTGCATCCTTGGTCTCAAAAAAATCAAAAAATCCCAGATAGTCTTGCAGGATATTGCCCTGATCATCTCAGCAGACCCTTCCAAGTGAAATCAAACTAGGAGCAGATATGAAGTAGTTTCTGCAAAAAACTGCAACATCACAGTAGCATCTTCACACCTGACTTTTTCTAAAAGGGTTACCTTGAACAGAACTGCTGAATAGGAGTCTGCAGATGTGATAAGGGCAGAGAAGTAAACTGATTGAATGTAAGGGTGAGGTCAAGTGGGGGAAATTATGAAAACAGCTTATGCCATTGCAAGGACATAAGGAAGGGGTGGGGCTTGTGTATGGCTTTTTGATGCTGCTTGATGTGATGCTGCTTTTTTTATTTTGACCCAGTGGATTTTGCAGATGCCTCTGGCTGTGTGTCTCATTGATTTTAGCTGAAATCAGTGGGGCTTAGTTTTGGCTCACTAATGGTCTTTTGTTTTATGTTGCAAATGTGAACAATAGTAAGGTACAGAAGTGTCTCTGGCTAAGAACAGAAGTCTATTGGGTTGCACAGTGGATTTTCAAGCAGCAAAATACTGTTTCTGAACAGCTTAAAAACAACAGTTTTTATTTTTTTTTCCTTTAAAAATTCATTTCAGGATGCACAATTGTACTGCCAGATGTTATGATCTTCAGATTTGCTGGCTGTGGTGTGGCAGTGTCAGCCCTTCTATTCTAATGGGAGAATCTGCCTGCACAAACAACTTAATAAGGACATGCATGAGGATAAACAAAATGCCTGCATGGTGAAGGAAATTATTCAACCTACTCTAAGAAAACAAAAATTGAAAATTTGTGGTGAAGCAAGCCATATGTACCCAAGAAATTGCAACCAGACTGCAGGAAAGATCAGTGGCTTTCCAGCTAAGATTGCCAGCTAGCTGGGCAATCTTCTCTGGGGCTGGTATTCCTTTGTTTATCCTTCCCAAACTGATGCCCTCCAGATGTGTTGGAACTCAGTTCCCACAGAACTCTTCTGGGAGTTTGTTGCTAACCACTCTGGCTGCAGATTATGAGAGGTGAAGCTGCCAGCTTGGAGAAGTTCAGTAAATCTGTTTCAAAGTCATTCAGTCCATTTGCATTCCTGTTTCCCACAAGTAGAAGCCCTGCTATCAGATCTGGGGCAGAATGTGGAAGCCCACTCATATGCAAAACATTATAGGGCTATGTTTGGGGGGAGTTGTTTGTTTTAATCTTGTAAGATGTTCAGAGTCACTTGTGTGAGATGGGCAGCTCTAAAAATAAATAAAAGATAGGAAACTGAGTCTACCTTCAAGATGAGCAAGAGAGAGGCTATAAGTTACATTCCTTTCACCTTCCCACCTTGATGTGTTCCTGGATTCTCCAAACAGATCATATGCCTTATGGCAGCCCTCGACGACAATGATATTATTATTATTATTATTATTATTATTATTATTAGGCATACACTATCATTTCCTGACCATGTGTGACAGTAATGTTGCCTCCCAATTACAGCATTAGTCATTCTGCATCCACACCACCCTCCAATTGTACAGCTGTCCATTGCCTTTATATAGCTGGATGATTGCAGTTTCTTCTGTTGTGTGATTCTCAGGCTCAGGGAAAGCTGGAGAAATTGGGGGTGACAGCTGTGGACAACCCCAGGACATCCATAATGCAGATGATGGATAACATTATTTCCTTTCTGCCTTCTTCTTTCTGTTAATTAGCAAATCAAGCATTCTGCAGAGTGCTTCCCTGGAGATGTGGCTCTTACGTTTTGAGTTGTACATCAGCCTGGAAACCAAAGATCCAATCAATAGTAAACGCAACTGTGGATCATAAGTATGCATGTTGACAAACAGTTAATAAGCTAAAAGCCCTTTCAG